GATGACAACAATGCTGTTAAAGTCAAAGCAAATAGTGTATTGAAAGAAAAGTATTTACGAAGGTATCCAAAGATAGAGGAAGGAGACAAAGTTAAAATATTTGTTAAGGGTAAGGGAAACTACACGAGCAGGAAAGAGACGAGAAACCAGTGGAGCGACAGAACATATAAAGTTAGTGATGTTAAAAGAGATTTACAATTAAACAAATACTATATAATTGAAGGACTTACGAAGCGTTATATGCGTCATGAACTATTGTTAGTTGATTAAGTGTTATAAAGAAAAAACGAGATATAATGATATTAAATGGAAGAAAACGGACGGAATAAAAAGGATTATAAGAATGGGAAAATTTACTGTATTAGAAATGTATTAGATGATGAAGTCTATGTAGGTTCAACAACGCAACCTTTAAGTAAGAGGTTTATGCGTCATAAAACAAACATTAATTTGGATATGTATATAAACCATGTGTTTTATAATAAAATGAAAAAGGAAGGGGTTGATAATTTCTATATAGAGTTGATTGAAGAGTGTCCGTGCGATAATGTTGAACAATTGAGAAGAAGAGAGGGGGAAGTTATAAGAGAAATAGCAACATTGAACAAACAAGTAGCAGGAAGAACTCAAAAAGAGTATTTGAATGATAAGAAAGATTATATTAATCAAAGACGAAGAATATATTCACAAAAGAAAAGAGAGCATTTTAATCAGTGGCAGAAAGACTACACTGAACTAAATCATGAAAAAGTTATGGAAATGAAAAAAAGATGGAGAGATAAACAACCAATTGTTGAATGTGAAAACTGTGGTTCATTAATTGAAAAGTCAGGTTTATGCGCACACAAGAAGACCCAAAAATGTCTAGCAAACCCTACCCCAAAATGACTTAAAGAAAAGACACCTTATATATTAAGGAGATGATTTTTAATTATAAAAATTGCCAGTGTTGTAAGATAAATAATAATAATGTTAAGGTTGAGTTATATAAGGTTTTGCCTGCTAATGTTTGTGAAATGATATGTGATTATAATCTTAACTGTTTAAACTGTAGATACTTATATGATAAAGAAAAAATGCTTATTAAAACAAAATTTTATAATGAGAACCTTAACAAAACAGAAAAACAAATATATATTTTACAAAATTATATTAAGTCTCCTATTTATTTACCAGGAACGAATAAAACAAATCTAACTGTTATGAAGAAAGAAATAGACCAACTGCTTGAAACTGATGAAGTAAAACAAGAGTTTAAGAAGAATAAGCTTTTTTTATCTGCTACTAAATCATATGTGAAGAAAGAATGGAAAAATACATATCATATTCTTTTTAATCTACATCATTTTGATGGAATGAAACACTTTAAAGATAAAGGTTGTTGGTGGTTGGTTAATTTTAATACTTACTATCGGTTTAGAAACAGTATAATAAAGATAAGAGACATTCTAGAATTGTTCCTTGAAAAATACATTGCAGCATTAATGGGTGATTATAAAAACCTATGTGATGAAGAAGCAATGAAAGAACATATAGATAAGATTTTAGATTTGTAAAAAGCACGAGACAAACACAGCAATGACTTAAAGAGAATAGGGAGGAGAAAACGAGAGAGAGGGGGATAAACCGTAGAAAACAAGAAATGGAAAGGAGGAGAAAAGGAGGACTTCAAGAAGAAAAAGACTAATGAAAACGAAAGAGGGGGACAAAAGAAGAAAACGAAGAAGGCTTCAAGGAGTGGGAAAAAGAGGGAAGGAAAAGAAAATAACGAATGAGGGGGAGAAAACCGTAGAAAACGAATGAGGTAAAAGTGAGTGATGAAAAATAGAGAATAGGGGAGAGAAAACGGGAGAGATAGACAGGAACAAGTTTGAAACAGTAAAATAAGAAAACGAAAGAGCAACCTATAAGCCCAAAACCCCAGAATCCCCCTTTTACCAATTTTTGGGGGGGCGTGACGAGGCCTCTCGATCTCGTGAAGCTTGACTCCACTGGGAAGCCATGGCTTGCCGCAGCCGCGCCGAAATCTGCCTCGGCGGAGTTGCGAAGCTCTTCTCTCGCTCTTTTTCGCTCTCTTTCGGTCTCCTTCAATCCTTTCAGGACTCGGCACTGGCTCCGCCTGAGCGAAAGCAAAACTTCAAAGAGCTTAGATACCGCGGCTGAGGTGAAGCGGGTGAAGCGGGCGAAGCGGGGCCGGGCCCCGTGCGTTCAGTGGGAACTCGTAAAGAGGAGCTTCAGCTCCTGGAAGCGGAAGCGAAGCGGAGCTTCCCCAGAGCCACCCCGCACGACTACTTGAGGCTGCGGTTGCGGTCCTTGAGGGCGCCGCCTGGCACCCAGCAGAAGAAAAACACAGAGCCAACTGCATCGGGTTTCCGGCTGCCTAAAAAATTGTGTGGAAGATTGCCCCCCACCCAGCGCGAGCAAGTGGAGAGGCGAGCATATCCCTCTGAAGGCGGCGCTCGCGAAGCTGCGTTTGCAGCTTTGCTCTGTCGTAAAGTACCTCGTGCAGTCAAGGCCTCCGATCGTATTGTCTCGTTGTCAGAAGCCGATCCTTCTTATGATATCCTCGCACACTCCTTTACTCACTTACCCACCCCAGATGAGGTCCGAACCGCACACGAAAGACGTTCTCTGGTGTGGCTTGATAAGACAACTCTCAACCCCTCAGGCCCCTCACGCCCCACAGCGCCCACCGGCCCCGCCCACAGTCCAGTTTCCTTGATTCATAATAATTTATATTATACCCATCTAAAGTTTGAGAATCGCGGTAGGAGTGATGGGCGGTCTAGGCATTCCTCGATCAAGAATTGCAAACAATCCCCTTGCCGCCTCGCTGCCGAGTCGCCTCAGGCGAGCTGTAGCTTGCAGCTTGCATGCCACCGACCCTGCATCATCGGGCCTGCGTTTTTTGGAGGCTGACCCGGCAACGCCGTGGACGACCCCAGGACATCCGACAACCATCATGATCGCCCGGCGAGAAAGCAGCGGCCCAGGCAGCGCGAGGCGCTGCTAGGATCCAAAAGCGTACATCATCAGCATCAGCGGGGTGCGGCGCAGGGGGAGTGCCTGGCCCTGCTCCGGGCTGCTACCTGCGCTGCCCGTGGGCGCAGCCCCCAGAATCGGGCAGCGCAGAGGGCTTTTGCTGCCAGGCGGCCACAAGAGCTAAGCGAAGCTTGAAAGGCGAAGCTTGTCGCTGGTCGCGCTGATGCTCGTGATGTGCGCCCCTGCGGCGTCGCAGGCGTGACCCCGACACACGAAATTAGCTGGGGGATGGCCGGAAATTCCGGACATCTTTCTGGACGGCACAATGCAGCTTCCGCCCGCGAGGGTGGGCTGATGTGCCCAGCAGAGGCGCGCATCATGAGCATCAGCGGGGCTTGAGGGGCCTGGACTAGGACCTCTGATGCTCATATGCATGCCTTTGGAGGGGCTTGGGAACGGTGCCGGGTTGGTTGCTTGCGCTGCAGTAGTCAAGACTGGCGCCAAAAGGCCACCACACGCTCCCGGACGCCCGACTCTCCGAAGCGTCTGATCACGGTGAGAGGCAGCACGGCTTAGGCTAACCGCCATGGCCTCGTGTGAGACCAAGCGGCCCAGCGCCGTTGTCTGATGAGGTTTACGGGAGATCACTTGGACCCGATGAACCGTGACTCAAAGACGCTCTCATGACAGTCTGTCGAATGGAAAAAAAAAGGTCGAAGCAAACCCGTGGGATAAAAATGCTGCAGAGCAAGGTCGAAACAAGCCAGACTGCACCACACGTCGCTTACAAGGCGAGAGCTACGGAAGGGCCATAGGCTGAAAGCTTTCCACCATCCTTGGTGATATGCATGTATCAGCAGTTCGCACGGGAACGAGGTGCCACTGACATCAGGGAAAACAGACTATGGACGATTTGAGAGCCAGTCCTGAGGAGACAAACACTTGCCCTTCATGGCCTTCATGAGCCTTCATGCTTCTTGCAGCAGACAGGCAAGCGACTTCGCCAAGCGCTTGGGCAGCTAGCAAGCTCCAGCACGAATGCGACGAAAGGTTCTGGGTGGTGCTCAAGGCTGTAAGTTGAAGAGGTTCCATATTCTTAGAAATGCCTTTGCAGCCATGCTTGAAAGCGGTTAGCAAAAAAGATCATGCTGTGTCGATGTTCTTTGCCATGAAGGCTTCAAAAGAATGATGAGAGCTCAGCGAGGGACTCGGGAACACGAGGAGACCGCACAAGCTGCAAGCTGTGAGGACACTAAATTCGTGGTTCTGGTCACAGCGCTGAGAAGGGGTCGATGTTCTATTCGAGGGGTTTCACCTAAGGCTTCCTCCCAACAAAGAAGAGCTCCCCAGGCCTGCACCGTCTCCAGCCTCCCCCCCCCCCCTTTGTTCGCATCATCGCCTTCATGGTCAAATGCCTCCCGTAAGCTTGGCGAGCCGCTTCGCTACTCTGCTGGCGCTACTACGGCTGTCGCTGCTTGACTTTATCGCTCGATGTCCGGGAAGATCTCGCTGCAGCTTTCTCAGCTGTGCTACGACAGCGCTCCTGAACCGCCCAAGCTGCCACAAGCCCCTGCTGCCACAAGCCCCTGCTGCCCCAAAACTCCACAGACCCCACGTGGTCAAGGACTCAACGGGACCTTGGCATATGCCAACATTGTAACAAAGGTCCTCAAGACATAAGCCTCAATAAGATTCGCCTCTTTGCGAGGCTCGGTGACGTGACTACAGTGACTACAGCACTTCTCCCCTGAGCGAACTCCTCTCTCCGGCGCCTTCCGGGTGGTTCGCTGTGGTGGAGCCGTTCCCTGACAGGGAGAGGGAGAGTCAGGAAAGGAATGTCCGGGCAGGGCTCCTGGGGAGACTCGCCTGAGCCTCTGGGAGAGCTCGTATTTGGACAACTTCGCTCGGCACAGGCCCTTCGGCCCCAGGAACTCCTCGAAGTCCAAGACCTCGAGCAGAGAAAATGCGCAGTCCGCTGCGCGCCCGCTGCGCCGAAAGCGAGGAGAGAGAGAAGAAGAGAGAGAAGAAGAGAGAGAGATTGGGGCCCGGGGAAGCGTTAGGATTAGGCACCCGGCGAGGCGCAGCCTGCCAACGCACGGACGAAGATTCCCCGCACTCCGCACTCTTCTTTTATACCTCTCCTCCTTTTTGTTGGGCCTCGCTTCCTCCGAGATCTCCGGCCACGACTCCAGAGGCGTCACCTCGTAGACTCCTCCGACGGTACCACCACACCCACAGCGCGCTCTCATCCCATCCCAAACGCCCCACTCTCAGTGGGGGGGGGGGAAGTCTGTGTCCCAAGTGACCGTGACAACCCCACTGCGAAGGGCTCCATGCTCCATTCCCAATCTCTCATCCTTTTTACATGATTCTTGCAGGAAGAACAAGCTCTTCCACACTTGTCCCACACAGTTCTCGTCTGCTGATGCGATGTCAAATTCCCGTGTAGTTGCTTCAAAGTTTCGCCATGTTTTCTGACCACCCCACGCAATCTGCACGAAAACCAAGGGCCTAAGGCGCCGCTCCTGTTTCTGCAACTGTGGGCAAAACTAGTGCCCCATCCCCGGCTCGGCTATCTCCTCCATGGCTTCTTGCCAAGTAATGTCCCTAGTTGCCGTCACACTCCTGCTCCCCCCAAGTCCTACTTTTTTAAACTGTTGCTTCCTGTGACCATCTTTGGCCCCGTGGTCACATCCAAGAAGTGGGTCCAAGCACTGCCCCTAGCAGCCGCTCGCCTCGCCTCCGTGGACTCCGGCTTCTTCCGACCTCAGCCCCACGGCGGCTGCGACAGATCGCGACGTACTTTGTGCTGAGCTCCCTCACTGCATCAGGTTCACTTTCAGCCACTCCAGAATCTCCACGGGAAGCTCCTGTCGCGAGTCGCGATCCGCGAGTCGCGGGCTAGCGGCTAGCGCCTTCCAGCGCGGCCAGTTGAGGCTGCTCTGCGCACTCTTCTCCGCCACCTCACGAAGCGAAGCGCAAGGTGCAAGGCCTTGAAGCAATTGCGGGACGGGGCCTCCAGCGACGAGGAACTTCCGGAGTCGGAAGCGCTGGAGGCGGAGGCTCCGAAATCAGCGGAGGACCGGCCGACAAGCTCCCGCTCGGACCTCAACTGTCGGCGCTTTAAGCGCTTTCCGGGCCCCGCGCCCAACAGGAACGCGGAAAGTGCTCCACTCTTGCAAGCCGCTTCGCAGAAGGCGCCGCTGGGAGGGGACCGGGGAAGGGGACAGCGCGGACATGCGCCCGCGCCTGGATCGCAAGATGTCGGAGATGTTCGACATGGTCAGCGCCTGGCCTGGAGGTCTTCTGACAACGAGACCGAAAGAGAAGATGGGCAGAGGCAAGCCTGCTGGCCGCCCTGACTCCTGACACGACATGACGGTCCGAAAATCTTCAAAGGGGTGCGGGATGCAATGGCCGCATGGCCGTTCTCGGCAGAGCGCCTCCATGGCCCTCAGGAGCCGCATAGAAGCACGGCGGTGCCTGATCGGCCAGTGAAGCGTTTAATCGACGTCAAGGACAAGGAGACGATCTGCCTTATGCCTTGCCTTAAGTTTTGGGCGTGCTGAGGCTCCGGCCTGCGGCGTCTCGACTTCGAGGGAACATGGAGGCTCCTGCAAGGGAGGTCAGAAACTGACTACAAAGTTTTATGCAAAGTCGCCAATCCTTTCGAGGCTGCTTGGCACCTGCACAAGTGGGCTCTGCTCCGCTGGCGCTTAAGCTGCAAGCCCCAGCCAAGACGTGCACGCCGTGCCTTGGGTACACTAAGCCTGCAAACCAGAAAGCTTCCACGTCTCTGCAAAACTTGACGAAAGTCTGGCCTCCGTCCAGCTCCGGCACTGCTTTGCAAGGGAACCTAGAACGGCAACGGGAAACAACAGGAGACTGCTACTACGGGGCCAGGGCCTCACAGTCCGTGCCGGAGTCACTGCCGTTCTCTGCGTCTTCGCCTTCGCCTTCGCCGCCTTCGCCGACACCTCGGCGGCCTCGGTCTTCGGCCTCGGCCTGCTCGGCCCGCTCGGCCTCGGCCCGCTCGACCTGCGGGGCCTGCAGGGCCTGGCGGCGCTTTAAGGAAAACCACAGAGAGCACGGCGTCAGCACAGCCACACTCGGTGCCTCGGATCCCGAGCTGTTCTGGGAGAAGCGCCGGAGTCGCTCATGCGCAGCGTCCTCAGCGACAGCAAACCGCATGTTTTCGGAGCTCCCCATCAGCTCGTCGCTTTTTTGGGCACTTTTGCCGTCGTACAGGGCATCGCTGGCCGTTTTTCAGGTTTACATTTGGTACTACGTTTCCGGGACCTCGGCAAGTGGACCTCGGTAGTAAAACATCGGTGGCGAGATTTGGGTGACGGGACCTCGGCGATAACACATCGGTCATATCTTGGCAAGAACTGTTCAATGCGGTGTCTTGTTAAGCACCTCAGCAGTATCAGTATGGGAAGCTATGCAGTATGCAACACTTGAGCCAGAAATGTGACTCGTCGTCATGCAGGCTCGCTTTCAGTGCAGCCGCTACGAACATCTGATCTAGCTAATTCGGGCACTTGTAGGCCACTGTGCGACTTGTCTTCTTTAAGCTTCAGATACCTGCGTGTCTGATGGTTAATCTGGTAGCGGAGCTGCATGCTACTACTCATGACAGGAACAACTCCTATTAGCAATGCGAGTGGGGGTCGTACGTGGAGGCAGATGTGGATCGTGCGGATCAGACAGATGTCAGAGGATCTTCCCGTCAGGACAGCGCAGGAGCATCAGGATGGGACGACTTCTCTGCTCTTCCGCTTCGCGCTCTCAGGCGCACCAATTCGCGACTGCCTGTTACTGAGGCCGGGACCATGGTCTTCCGGAAGCCGGGGACGGGGACGAAGGCGGCAGCGGCAGCGGCGGGAGCCTCCCTCAGCTCCCCAGGCTCTGAGCTCGGAGCTGGGGAAGCTCCGTGCCCGCCAGCCCCACCAGCCCCGCCGGCCCCGCCGGCACAGGCTCCTGGAGCCGTCTCGGTGACTTCGAGCGCAACAGCCTGGCAAAGCACCAAATCCTCTCCTGCCTCTCCTTCCCGCTTCTCTGCCTCTGTTAAAGGGTCTCCATGACGGCTAAGCTCACTCCGTGGCTCACTCCTTCCAGTCGGGCGCGCGGGCGCGCACACGCGCTCTGTCTCGGTTTGCACTTCTCAGACCGCGGCGGGAAAGGCGAGGGCGGCGAGGGCGAGGGCGGCGCGTCTGCGAGCTCTTGGCCGCTGCCGCTTCGGCCCTCGGCCGGAAGGATGGAGCTGGAGGCCGAGGCCGCCTCTGCCGTCGGAGTCGTTTGGGTCGTGGAATCCTTCAGCGTCATCTGCGTCTGCGAAGCCTGCAGTGAGAGTCGCTGTTCGGGGATGGGGTGCCTTCTGGGGCAGAACCTGGCCTGCGCCTGCATCGAGACCTGAGAACTCAGAAAACGCGCAGCTCGCCACGCGCAGCTCGCGACTCGCTTCCCTGCGCCTCGACCTGGCTGCCCGTCTCCGTCACCGGCTTCTGCTCAAGGACGGCCTCTGCGCACTTTGGTTATACGCCACCGGACTCTGACAGTCGGAGGGCCTCGTCTAGGCGGAGAGTGGGGCCCAGAACGCCGGCAGAGATATCGCAGCTCGCTTCTTCCTTGCAGAGTGACTCGGCCTCAGCCTAAGCCCAACAACCCCTTCGTCCCATCTTCTCCTTGAAAAGCTCCCCCCAAGGTCCCTCGCGTCCCTTGTCCTATTTAGTCTTAGTTGTCTTAGTCTTAGGCAGTTTCCTTTCAGCGGCGCCACACGGGTTTTTGCAGAGGCGTCTACCGTGCGGCCGTGCACTTCGCAGTAAGTCGCTCTGACAGCGCTAATGCCAGCCGAGCCCAGGCCTCCAACGGCTGTCGCTCTGGCAAGCCGTGGCTGGCCTATCGCAAGGGCACGGGACGAAGACAAGCAAACATGCAGCCTGCAGCCGATCGCATCTATCCAAAAAGAGGTCAGAGTCAGAGATAGGTTGCGATGCGATGCGCGAAGCTGCAGCGGCCTTGGTTGTGGGAGCGTCGCCTTGGCCGCTTTCCACGTCCGCGGCCTGGAGCTCCGCTCCGCTCCCTTCGGATACCCAAGATTCCTTCTGCGTGTGAGCACAAAGTTTCAGAGTCTGTCTATATTTGGGGTCTTCCCCGGCTCCGCAACGTCGAAAGCAACCGTGGGCAAAGAATATACTGCTCTCATGAACCTTCAAGAATGGGTGCGTTGCTTGCTGAAACGGGGGATCGCCATACCAACAGGCAGGGAAGCTGAACCCTGCCGAGCATCTGGCAACCCGAACCGGTTAATTGCATGAAGGACTTGCGTGGTGAGCCTCACAGGTGCTACCTTTAAACGCGTCCCTGCGATCGTCAATACGTACATGCATCATTGTGCTGTTCACAATTGGTTGCAGCAGCAATGCAATGAGTGTCGGCATGGGTTGGAAACAACAGCACGATAGTTCTGTGGCTAGGACATTGCAGAACTGCGACCGGGGGAGTGACTATCTTCATCAGTGCAAGCATGACCACGGGCTGCGGGCTCGATATCTTCAAGCAATATCGTTCTTGCTACTCCTTCTGTTTCACCTTTTTACAGCTACATAGACTTGTTTGATTCCATCCTTGCCAATACTGGTGCCATGCCGACTGCACTCCTTACTGTCAAGGCTGCTATACACCAATCGGCCGTACTGACGGTTCCAACAGTAACTCACTGAAGCTGCTCGTGCATGCGCGGCTTCACACTTTCTCGATTCCGCTGTGCGCAAACTTAGGATACGTGAGTCTTCTAGCGAGACGTCTTTGGATTCGAAATGGTGCTCACCACCTTCATGAAAGGTAGCGCGGCCAACCGCATTCCAGCATATACAAACATCCAGCTGGGGCAACTTGGTGCCTTGAAAAGACACAGTGTACACAGCGGGAAGGCTTTGAACAGTTCGCGAACGAGGCTGAACGCAAACATCAAGCCCACAGATACGTTAGCACCATCATCGACATATGCACAATAGTTCTCTGCACGATTGGCCTGACATGATTATTATCCTGCCAGCATCAACGGATATCCGCTCACCAATGCTGAAACACTGAGCTGTTGTTCACTTCGATGGGAGTGGAAGTTGGTGAACTAAACCGGTGTCAATGGTATTGCCTGAACACTCAGACAACTGATCAGCATGCTTCCGCAGAGACTGACCCATCTCCAAGCCTAACAAGGCTTCAACACCAGATCAAATGCCTGCTGCGGATCCACAGCTGTTTGCGC